TATGTGTGCTACTAATACCAGATGCAGGTAGTGTTATTTTTGTTCCCATTTTATTGACAAGACACAGACAGAGAGATAAGGCACATGAATGTGTAAATAATTTATCCAAGTCACATAACTAGCAGGGGGTATTCCAGGCAGACTGTTTTCAGAGTAAACTTCCAAGAATTGCATGATTATGACCAGTCTGGAGGGGTTTATTCTGACATTATGAAAAAGTAGAGTTGGATGGTTGCATCAAGCATGATGGGCCTTGGTCAAACTGGTGTTTGCCTCCACCTATTAGACAGATGATGCCATTTTCTAGCACATTATCAGAGTTGAACCCCAAATATTACATGTTTTCAAGAAATCAAGGATGTTGTATGTGATACCTATAAGAATCTGTCACTCCTCTGTGCTTGATCAGTGACTTTGGGAATAGGGGTAGTTATAGTTAAAATAATGGAAGGATTGACTTTTTTTATAACAGAGAGAAAAAATGTGAATGTGTGAATCCTGGGTGCTGGGTTACAAAAGCAGCCTTGATAAGTGTAAAATTCTAGTCCAGAGAAATGGATTTATCATTATTGCTCTCATTAGTTTCATCTTCCATTCAGAACTAGTTAGCAGTACTATGGAGAAGCAGTAAAGCATTAACTTAGTTGGAGAAGTGGGACACTGCATTTAAAAAAGAAAATTAGGAGACTTTCAGTGAAAAGAATGTGTCAATATCTTATATTCACATACAAGTATCTTGTTTACATTCATTCATTCATCCATTCTTTTTTTCTTTTTTTAAAATTTTATTTTTATATTCCCCATATAATTGCACACCCCTTATTTTGACCCCAATCCCTGCTTTGCCTCCCCCCCCCCCCATAGTGTGTCTCTGGTTCATAGTTGTGTGTTGATTTTGATTTTTTCTTTCTTATAGTTATTCTTTTTCCTGGTCCCTTATTTAGGTTTTCTAGATTCCTGCTATGAGTGAGACCATCCGGTATTTCTCTTTTTCTTTCTGGCTTATTTCGCTGAGCATGATCCCTTCCAGCTCCATCCATGTTGCTGCAAATTGCATGTGTTTTATCTTTTTTGATTGCTGAGTAATATTCCATTGCGTATATGTACCACATCTTCTTGATCCAGTCATCTATTTTTGGGCATTTGGGTTGTTTCCAAAGCTTAGCTATTGTAAACAGTGCTGCTATAAACATAGAGGTGCAGGTGCTCTTTGGAATTGATGTTTCTGTGTCCTTTGGGTAAATACCTAGGAGTGGAATTGCTGGAGCATATGGAAGCTCTATGTTTAGTAGGTCCAGAAATCTCCACACAGCTCTCCATAGTGGTTGGACCAGTTTGCACTCCCACCAACAGTGCAGGAGAGTTCCTTTTTCTCCACATCCTTGCCAACATTTGTTGTTGCTAGTTTTTTTTTTTTTTAATGATTTTTTTTTAAAGATTTATTTATTTATTTATACAAGCACTGGGTACCGTCAGAAGCGTGGGAGAGTGAGCGAATTCACTAGAGCCAGAGTAGAGAGTAGAACAGGCAGACTGACAAAGTACACTGTTGAAGGGACCAGCAGGCAGCAGGAGAGGTCTGCAGCGCCATGTGGGACCCATGCCCAGCGGCTGGGGATCAAACCGACACTGCAGAGGCTGCGGACAGCTTCGCAGCCCAGCACTCAACCACTGCACCACCAGGGAGGCCCTGTTGCTGGTTTTTTTAATATGTGCCATTCTCACTGGTGTGAGATGGTATCTCATTGTAATTTTGATTTGCATTTCCCTGATTGCAAATGACGTTGAACATTTTTTCATATGCATGTTGACCATTTGTATTTCCTCTTTGGAGAAGTTTCTTTTTAGCTCTTCTGCCCATTTTTTGACTGGATTATTTTCTTTGTGTTGAGTCTCATCAGTTCTTTGTAGATTTTTGTGATCAGTCCTTTATCATTAGTGTTGTGTGCAAAAATTTTCCCCAGTTGGTGGGGTTTCTCTTTGTTTTGATTGTTTCTTTTGCTGTGCAGAAGCTCTTTAATTTGATGTAGTCCCAGCTGTTTATCTTTGCCTTCACTATCACTGCTTTGGGTGATGTGTCTGTAAAGATGTCTTTGAGGTGCATATCATGTAGTGTTTCACCTATATTTCCTTCTATTTATTTTATGGTTTCAGGTCTTATGTCTAGTTCTTTAATCCATTTTGAGTTGGTTTTTGTGCATGGTGTGAGGTAGTAGTCAAGTTTCATTCTTTTGCATGTAGTGACCCAGTTTTCCCAGCACCATTTATTGAACAAACTTTCTTTGCTCCAATGCATATTCTTTGCTCCTTTGTCAAAGATCAGTTGACCATAAATCTGTGGGTTTATTTCTGGGTTTTCTATTCAGTTCCATTGGTCTGTGTGTCTGTTCTTATTCCAATACCATGCAGTTTTTATTATTATGGCTTTGTAGTATAGTTTGAAATCTGGGAGAGTGATGCCTCCATTCCCTTCTTTTTTTTTCAGGAGGGTTTTGGCTATTCGGGGTTTTTGGTGGCTCCATACATTCATCCATTCTTAACTTCATTGACAGATATTGCTGTATACTTACAGGCCCTGAGCTAGATACTGAGGAAACAGAAATGCCTCAAACAAAGGCTATATCTCTAAGAAGAAATAAAATTATGAAAGAGAAAGGTTGATAGGCAGGTAAACATTTAAGTCCCCTTAAGCTGCTGAGGCAGATATGTTATGAAAGACTGTGGGAAAATGAAAAGTAGAATTGGTCAGATTTGCCCATCTGGCGGTGATGGAAAGAAATTCAGAGAGGAGATGACCTTGGAATTGAGATCTTGAAGATGTAGAGGTGCTTACTAGTGGACAAGTTAGGCAGAGAGAAGAGCAAGAATAAGACAAGGGTTAAAAGAAAATTTTTAGCCATCATATTAGTATTAATCATTTCTAAGATAGGAATAATTTCACATCAGAACATCTATGAAATCTGGACACCATACACTAGTTTAATTAGCGGTGTATGTTCTTACTGGTACATAAAGTAATGGTATGCCTTATAACATATGACAGCTGAGGTTTGTTAAAATAATGTATTAATATGCTTTGCCACCAAAGAATATTTCTTGTGTGTGCTCTTTTGGCTGCTAGTACATTTTTGATGTTGAAGTAGACATTGAGGAGGAAATTTTATAGAGGAAATAGGCATGAAATTATTGGGCTCCTTATTTGGCATTGGATTTGACAGAATGGTCTGATGTTGCTTTTAATGCCATTAGTTGGTAGTGACCGGACCTGGGGAGAGAATTTGAGTGCCTTATTATGTTGGACCAAGCTATGAATCATCACATCACCATTTTCTAAGGCAAAAAGGGATTTCAAAAAGCAAATTGCAAATTTGAAAAACAAATTTGGAATTTCTAAAGGTGCTAAGTTTATAATCATTGTGTAAAAATGTACCCACTATTCTTTGAAAGTTACAGTGTTATGAGTAAAAAAAGCAGACTATGTATAATTGATCTTTCAAGGCACAAAAAGCTACATCAGATATAAGGTTCAGTGGGTAGATTAGAGAGAAGGTTCTGGTTTGTGTATCTGAAAAAAAAATCAAAGAAATTTTTGTTGAGGGTACGGATTTTGGCAAGTATCCAAATATCTAGCACCCACACATTAGCTCACAGGTGCCAAATACATCCTAGTTTCTGTGCTGTCAGTAAATCCTGTGTGCCCTTAGGCAAGTCAATTAGCATTTGGATTTTGGTTTTCCAGAAGGCTGGAGTAGAGCAGGGATCCTGCCAGCTAAAGATGCTGTGACTCTCCCAGCAGTTTTGAGATGTGGTTTCATTGATGAGAGCATGGTGATTGCTCTAAGGTCTTGTTTATCCTTCAGTTTTGTGGGTTTTTAGAAGAGAATGTTATGAAAGATGGCATAGTCATTTTTTAGCTATTGATTTAATTTTTGGAATAACAAAATAGAAAATTATATCCCCTAGGGCTAAGGAGAATTACAGTGATCCTTTTTAACCTACTTTGATCCAAAATATATCAATAAGAAAGATGGGGAATTTAGTGGGAAACTCTTAGAGCCTAATTTATTAAAAACTGAGATCATATTTATTTTCATTTGTTTAAAATGGGAACAGAGTGTACTGTCACTGAGACTTGACCAGGTAGTTTGCAAATATGTTTGAAAAAGTACATCCATGTAAAAAGAATGTCTAAAATGATTCAGCCACTATTATTATTTTCTTACAAATGAGTCATGGCAGTGTTTGCCTTTCTCCTCTTTGCTTTTCACTTTTCTGTAACAGCACAGATTCTTATGGGTTCCTTTTTTTCCCTTCTCTTTTCTCTTTGGGTATGTACCAAAGTTTACTACATTGAAGATTGTTACTAATGAAATGAAAAATCTGTGTTGAATTTGGTTATCATGCATGCTGTTTTTAGAATGAATGTTTTGTTTACAGTCTCTCACCCTGACTTTTTAAATAACTGGCGTTATGTCCAATGACAGTGTATTGGGATGAAGAGGAAAAGTAAGATTGGAGAGACACAGCCAGGCTATACCCTTTTAAAAAAGGCTTTTTGGAAGGCCTGAATTGGAATGAAGTAAACCACTTAAACAAGTTTTTTCAGCAGTGTCAACTTTCCTTGCTGGGCGATTCAAGATTTTAGCTATTATAGAAAAAATTTGATTTCATAAAAGTAATCCCATCTACTTACCACCTTAACCCTTTAGGTAAGGAGATGATAAAATATAATTCTTAATAACTGGGGACTTACTTCTACATTGAAGGAACAAAATATAAGTACGTTTTGTATGAGTGGTATCATAGAAGGGTTTCTGTTGTAGTAGTATTGTTTTTTCATTGGAATTAGAGAAAGCTTTTTTGTATCACCAATTAAAAAAAAAGTAGATGATCTAAGGACTGTCTCTAAAGATGGGTCCTGATATAAGTGTGGACATGTGTATATTTACTGATTTCTGATGTAAGGGACATGAAAGCTAACCTGATTCATTTGTTTTTAGGGGCTCTTGGCTTTGGGCCTCAGTGCAAGTCCATTGGAAAAGGCAGCTGCAACAATCTAGTGGTCACCAGCAGTCCCATGATGGTTCAGCGACTGGGACCCATTTCACCTCCAGCAAGCCAGGTCTCTACAGCATGCAACCAGATCAGTCCTAGCTTACAGAGGGCAGTGAATGCAGCCAACCTGAATATACCTCCTTCAGATACCAGGTCTCAAGTTATGTTTTTTTTCCCCTTCTTATGGTGTAATCACAATCACATCCCACCAGTGTTTTCCTTCCTTTCCTGAAAATACACACACACACACACACACACACACACACACACATGCACACTCACTTACTTAACCTACTCTTTCAATTTGAGTTTTGTCATAGGTGCCATAATCTTATTTGGTAAGAGGTTTTAATATCTGTTGTCTTGTGGTATAAGTGAAATTAATGCCCAATTTGAGATTTGGGAGTCACAGTTACTAAAGCTAAGTGTGGTGAAATAAGTCATATATCATGGTCTAAAAAACTTATGTTTCATGTACCTCTACTGTTGTAGTGTCCCTAGACAGCTTTAGAATCTGTTTGTCTGTGCTTCCATCCACCAATTTACTCAAGTATTTTATTAAGTACCTATTGTCTGCATAATACAACAGTTGAAATTTAGGGAGGTAGTAGAGACAATAAAGACAGAAATCATGGTTAAGCCTTTATGATGTTTCTGGAAACGTACTTTCATATATGAGTTTTATAACATTTCAACACGAAGTCTAATTAGATGTCGAATAAGAAGTTACACTGTATGCTGTCTATCTTTCTCTATGGGAGAGAATTGACTAGGTAAGGACAATCATTGCCTCTAACAAATTTTTATCTCAAGGTTAATATTATATGTGGCATAAAACAAAATAATGTGCAGTGTTTTGAGTCTACTACTATGCTTGAAATGAATTATTCTGTAGAAGCTGTGTTCTTTGAGAAACACAATCCAAAGTTTTTGCCTCTTATTCCTGATTCTGCTGTAACTGGGATGTTGCAAAGCAATTTAACTGTCAGGACTTGTGTTTTCTCTTCTTGGTGAGCTGGGATCAGCTGAGATGTCTTGCAGTTCTGGGATACTGTTTCTTCTGCCTTCTTTTTCTCCTGTGCCTTTTTCCCCCTTCTTGTATCTCTATGCTGTCATCTAGCTGTTATTTGAGACTCTAAAACCATAGTTCCAGGATCATTTTCCTGCCATTTTTTCATGAGATGGAAACTTGTTTTTCACCTGAGGTTTTTTTTTGTAATGGGAAGCTGCTGCTGTCATTTCCCATTGATGATTATGCCTTGAGGGATTCCTCAGACTTGCTGAGTAGCACATGTAAAATTAACTGTACTCTTGGGGTAGGTGTCATTGGAAAGCCTTCAACTTCCTGTCTGTGGCAAGTCCAACCCATGCCTTGAAGGCAAAAGTCATAATTAATGGAGAAACTGATGGTAGGCAGGGCATCGGCTGCTCTTGCCATGTACCTTATGTACTGACTTTTATGGATTGGCCAGGGAAGCGTCATTATCTCAATGTTTTATCACATATTTGATTCCTTAGAATAATTTTGTATGCCTTAAAAGACAACATTGTAAAGGTAAATTGAAGTATGTTTTTGACTATGTATTCTGTGAGTCCTGTAGAAATAATTTTCTGCAAGATGAGCAATGAAACAGGAATTGGTAAACAGTTTGGTGCAGTATGGAACTTACTCTTAGTAACTTGAAAAGACTGCATTTATTTGTGATCTTTATATTGGTTTGTATCTATCAGAGGAGAGATAGGGTAAAAAAGTAAAAGTTCAGCTTAAGGTATTTTGCTGTCTACAGCTAAAGAGAAGATTGAGAATCAGTTTTGTATTTTATCCATTAGGGACATGCTGTGGACCAGTGGGGGTGCGGGAGGGTGCATGAGCTGTTCAGTCTGAGTGATGGCTGTCCTATAAAAAGTTGTAACATTTTTCTCCCTGATTATCTATGTGATACTTACTAATTGTAGAAAATGTGGAAAATATAGAAAAGCACAAGACAGTACATGATAGTCATTTTGTATCCTGCCACCACCTAGGAGCAACTGTGGGAGGAATTCTTCTGAGGGATTTGCCTAGACACATAAACAAGAACTTTGAGATAGGTTGGAACTATTCTTTTCCATGATATGTATAATACATATTCTCTTGAGTATCAGTATGAGAAATTCCACATGCTCTATAAGTTAGTATTTATTTTGGACTTGGCAATTCAGCTTGGTCATCAAGTCTCTTAGGACTCCATGAGAGTTACTGAGTTCTTAGAAAACAGAAAATGTGGGTTTAAGTCTGTTATACTGGGTCTTTTAATCAAACAGAGCATTTTGGACCACATGTGGGGATGTGGAGAAAGTAACAGAGGATATATGTCATCCTGCTAGGAAACTGCCTATCAAATGCTGCTTCATTTGTACTTCTATAAGGACTTTGGGTCTTTTCTTTTTCTATTTTTTAATCACTGGGAAGAATTTTACAGATTCTCAGTTTTATTCTTTGTAGAATATTCTTATTTAAAAATTCAGTTTACTTACCTCACAGGCTATATCAAATGAGGAGTTCTACATAGGGAAAAAAGATTTGAAAGCTATGTAAATGGTGGTTAGTTATAATTTTATTGATTGATTACTTACTCATCTTAGTTTTTATCAACCATTTTTTTGTAACATGTATACCTAACATTCTGTGGGTACTGAGGGAGATAAAAATGACCCCTCCTGTTGAAGAGCTTTGAATTTCATTCAGGAAAATATAACCACAGGTGCCTGAAGTTTAAGGTGCAGCACAACCAGTATGTAACTTCTTTGGAGAGAGGACATAAACTGAGAACAAGTGTATTTGGGGGATTTCTTGGATTTGAAAGATTAAAAGATAGGAGGTGAGTCACAGGGCAAAGGCCATTTGTTGGAGTTTTGTTCTCATTGGGTGTTGGAGATAGGAGACTCTCTATTCATATTAGCGCCTTAGTGAACAGAATATAGAACTTGCTTTCTGAAAAATTTATAACTGCCTTAGAAAACTGAGATTTTTTTTTTTAATTTATACAATAGCTGGGGTATAGGCCAGAGGCGCGGGAGGGTGAGAGGATTCACCAGAGACAGAGTGGGGAGCAGAACAGGCAGAGAGACTGAAAGTACTACTGAGGGGAGCTGCAGGCGTGACAGGAGAGGTCTGCTGAGCCATGTGAGAATCTCCCTGGCCGGCTGGGTAGTTGAACCCACACTGCAGAGGCTGCGGACAGCTTCACTGCACTGTGCTCAACCTGCTGCGCAACCGGGAGGCCCCCAAAACTGAGATTTCTAAGGAATTAAGAAACATGCCCGCATGTAGTTGTACTCAAATTTAAATTGAGCCCTAGTTAGGTGTAATTTGGGAAAAAAAAATAAGAAACGTCTCTCAACAATAGAACAAATGAACATATCACTATAGGCTGTCCTCAAAGCCAATAATATAATTTTATATTTAAAGTAAGTACAGGTGGGTAAACTATTTTCTACCTATTATCTGCTGCTTAAAAACCTAAAATTCTGTTAGTGACCAGGTAAATGCACTATTTGAGAATGTTATAAAAACCTTCTCAATCTCAGGTGTAAAGCAAAGTCAATTGTCTTTACTTCATATATGACAGGACTACTGATCTGGCTTGGATCAGAAAACAATTCCTGAATCTCCCTGGGGAAGGGACCAAAAGACCCTTGACATCCAATCAGCAGGAGCTTTCAGCTGAGCTCTGCAGGGAGAGCTTCATACTGTGGGTGTGTTGGGAAATTTGAAAGATAGGTGGTTCAGAAACCACTTTGCAGCTTATGAAAGGACTTCAGCCCAAATATGAGGATGTGAAACAAGAAAAAAAGGCCAACCCCCCCCCCCCACACACAAAAACACCTGTTTCCAGGGCATCTGGATGTCATTGGCAAACGTTATTACTTTACTTCATGCAAACATCACATCAGTAATGGAGTTATCTGTTACCTTTTATTGTCCATTTCAGAACCAAGATGTTTTCTTGCTAATATCTGCTGCTCATAGGAAATAGTGTTCCTGGCCTCCATTTTGGGGAAAGGAATAAGAGGAACAGATGGGATGAATATGATTGTCTTTCCCTCAGTCCTTTGCAACACAGGTTGCTATTTAACAGCTGGAAGTAGTAAATGGGCTTATTCTGGGAAGACATAGATCTATATAATATATTGTTTTCATTAATTTTTTTTAACCAGAAAAAAAATCTCTGTAGAAAATCAGTGCAGGTACATATAACTAAGCCAGCTTTTTTCTGAGAGCCATGTCTGAGTTGGGAAAATGTAGTGAGTTATGTTTAGCTTTTTTTGTGACAAGTTTTCTATCCAAGCTTTTCTCTTCAATGATTTTTTTTTTTAATAGAGGCATGTTTTTATTTATTTATTTGTTTGCTTGTTTGTTTGCTTATACATGCACTGGGTACAGTCAGAAGCGCGGGAGGGTGAGAGAATTCACCAGAGCCAGAGCTGGGAGCAGAGCAGGAAGAAGGACCGAAGTACACTGCTGAGGGGAGCAGCGGGCGGCAGGAGAGGTCGGAGCGCCATGTAGGACCCTCCTCCAGTGGCCGGGGAGCAGTCGGGGATCGAACCGGTGCCGCAGAGGCTGCGGGCAGCTTCGCAACCCAGCGCTCAACCGCTGCGCCACCGGGGAGGCCCTTCAATGACTTTTAAGACAATGATGTCATAGTGAAGCAAAATGAATTTTAAAATGATCAGACTACATTACAAACCATTTTTGAAATGCAGGTACAAATACTGTGGCTTGTGAAGTGTGTTTTATAAAGGGTCAGAAGAACGGAGATGTATTATTGCAGAAATGTACTACCACAAGTGAATGAATGATCTGCACCTGGCCCAAAGATGCTGAGATTTAAGGACAGAGCTTGTCAATAAAACCCATACTGGCAAATGTGATTAAACCCTGCATGGCCCAAATGAAGAATTCCAAATATGGTCTGATTTCAGGATGTTATTCCCTTAGAGCTGTATTTCATATTTTTTCATTTCCTATGCTAATTTGATATTATGCCCGAGTATTGATAGCACGAATTGCAGGAAATACAATGCTTGTTTGTAGTGTGCTGCACACAGTAGATGCTTAATAAATACTTGCTTATTTGGTTTGCTGTAACAAGCATCCATAATTACTCCCATGTCTCTAATTTTCCCCTTACATTAAAAAGATATTTAAAAATAAGGCAAGGACTATTTATTATCATTAAAGTATTAAGATTATTTAAAACAATAGATCTTTTGTTTTATTATTCCAGGGAGCACTAGCCTTCATTGTTCTTGGTAAAATGCTATTTACCTGGAACTAAAAGCCTTGGGTTTTATCTTAGCCAAAGAATGTGTGTTAAGCCGAGAATGTAATTAGGGGAAATACTTAAGGGATTGTCAATGCAATGTTCTTTTAGCTCTTAAGCAATCCATATCCTGCTAAAATGTTTGTCTTTTTTTTTTCCTCCTCCTTTCTGGCTGCTATTCCAGGTCCCTTATTTCTCGTGAGTCTTTGGCGTCCACTACTTTGAGTCTGACGGAAAGTCAGTCTGCACTGAGCGTGAAACAAGAGTGGTCCCAAGGCTACAGGACCCTCCCTTCACTCTCCTCGAACCATGGCTCTCAGAATGGCATTGATCTAGGAGACCTCCTAAGCCTTCCTCCTGGGACAGCCATGTCCAGCAACAGTGTCTCTAATTCATTGCCACCCTACCTTTTTGGCATGGAAAATAGCCACTCTCCATACCCTAGTCCCAGGCACTCTTCAGCCAAGTCCCACTCAGCCCGCTCCAAGAAGAGAGCGTTGTCTTTGTCTCCCCTGTCTGATGGCATTGGGATTGACTTCAATACCATCATTCGCACCTCACCCACATCCTTGGTCGCCTACATCAACGGGTCGAGGGCTTCGCCGGCCAACATGTCCCCGCAACCAGAGGTCTATGGGCATTTCCTGGGGGTGCGTGGCAGCTGCATTCCCCAACCGTGTTCAGTGCCGAGCAGCCAGAAAGGTGTGCGGGTGGCCAGCGGAGGGCTGGCACTCCCCGTCTACTGCGAGGATGGCTCGCTGGAGTATGAACGCATGCAGCAGCTGGAGCATGGGGGCCTCCAGCCTGGCTTGGTCAACAACATGGTGGTGCAGCATGGCCTGCCGGGTCCCAATGGCCAGTCAGCCGGCCTGCTGAAGACTGAACGCCTGGATGATTTTCCCAGTAGTGCCCTGGACCTGCCCCCAGCGCCGTCTCTGCCTTCTCTCCCACCACCACCCCAAGGTCCCCCACCTCCCTACCATGCCCACTCACACCTGCACCACCAAGAGCTTGTCTCCCACACACAGCCACTGACCCTGCCTCAGGCTGTCCTGGAGGAGGATGGGGAGATGGACGACATTGGGGGCAAGCACTGCTGTCGCTGGATCGACTGCAGTGCCTTGTATGACCAGCAAGAGGAACTTGTGCGGCACATCGAGAAGGTTCACATAGACCAGCGCAAAGGGGAAGATTTCACTTGCTTCTGGGCCGGTTGTCCTCGCAGGTACAAGCCATTCAACGCGCGCTATAAACTGCTGATTCACATGAGAGTCCACTCTGGAGAGAAGCCCAACAAGTGTTCGGTGAGTTTCCCAAAGCCCATGTGAGTTCATTGAAGTTGTGTGTGTTTTTCCAAACTCTGCTGCAAGTCAGGGGATATTATCTTTTATGTAGTTTGGAGGTGAGGGGGAGTAGGTAGTCATGAAATTTGACTCCTCTCTAGCCTAAGGAAGGGGAAGCCTTCTTTAAGCATTAGCAGCTGAGGCATCCTTCAGTTCTGAATTCTCTTTTGCAAAATGTACATGATCAATCACATCACGGCAGGTTGATCTGCCACACTGGCTAAAATCTTAGAAAATAGATGCCCCCGCTACAAAATTAAAGTTAGTGAAATATGCAGGATGGAAGAATACACACAATGTAGCACTAATAAGCTTTAGCTCTTTCCAAAGCAAAAGTTCAGTGATTTTTCTCCCTTCCCACCAATAACTGGGTGAGTTTTGGGAGTGGGGGAGGGGTGGCTCTGGTATTTGGAAAGGAACTCAAGCTTAGCAGCTTGGCTAGTAAAAATGTTGCTGCATGCACCCACACACCTGCATGCTGCATACTCCAGCTTGAGTTGGAGACTTGTTAATGATTTATAGCCAGCATAAAAACACCCAGGGGATATCACAGGAGCAGAATCTCACAGGATCTCTTCGAATTTTAAAGAGAGGGAATTTTCTGTATAAGGAGAAAGAACCAAGAAGGCCATGTGTCTTTGATGTTGAAGGAAGTCGGCATTGTACCTCTTGTCTTCCCTGACTCCCCTTTTCACATCACTGATGTTGCAAGCAATGTTTTTTTGGCAAAATTCACTATTTTTGACTGATATGATTTAAATGATTTCACAACCACTTCGCACCTAATAGAAACCCTCAGAGTTTACAAGCAGGACATCACCCTTGGGATCACAGAGTGGCTTTGCACAATCTCAGACAGCTCACTTGATGCTTGGGGAAAAAAATGCATGTGTTTTATATTAGTCTAGATGGACAGGGATATTTCTTATAGAGTTAAAATCTGAGAATTGTAGGTCCTCTCAGGAACTTTTTTAGATGGTGGTCCCTCAGCCAGAATCTCCCTTTCCTATGTCTTGATAATTAAGAGTCTGGATGATGTATATTTGATTGTGGATTGGCCAAGTTGTTTGATTCACATAAAAGCAAACCAAACAGGTAATACAAGTATTAGGCATCCCTTTTCACCACCCTGTAGGTTTTTTTGAAGGAGTTTTAAGAATTTCTGGCAGAATGAAATTGCATTTCTTGTCATTACATTATGCCCCATGTTGTGATTTTTCTTAAGGAAAACCTGAAGCTGATACATTGTGAGAATGCCAGGTTATATGAGTGAAAAGAATAATTGCATTCCAAGCTGAAAAACCTACCTCTGTCAGTAGGGTTCTACATTAAAAATGCCAGTAAGAGACAAGCAATTGAAGGCAATTCCATTTACTCTGTTTGGTACACACTGGCCTGTTGCAGGCAGGAAAGACATTCAGTCTCTGAAGGAAAACAGTCCAACCTTTTTAGTTCTGACTAATTTTGGCTGAAAATAGTTTGCTGGATTTGGCTTACTGAAATAAACATAAAGGCTTGAATTACCCCCCAAATTTCTTTTGCATTGCAAAATTAATTTTTGTGCAATAGGATTTCCCCATTTTCCCACTGTTTCCAGACTTTTTCAAGGCATATAACTTTATAAAGTTTACTTTTGCTAGTGTGCATGATGATTATTAATAATAGAAATACTGAAGTGAAAGAATAAGTTGAGAGGTAAATATTTACAGGCCCCTGTATAGCTTTTTATTGTCTTGTTCAGGATGGGTAAGGGAGTGATTTCTCTTCTCCTGCTCTGCCCACTCCCCATTTTTAGATAGAATCTTTGCAAAATTCAGATTGCTAGGTTTAATAGCTTATGAAATCTAGAACCCAAAGCATTTACTTACACATTATAGTGCAAATGTGTTTATTTAAAACAGGGTTTCTTAGGAACTGACTAATGCTGCAATTCTAGTCTGGGGATTATATATTTTTAGCAGTAAGACATCCATTTTTATATAAAACATACATATCGTAGCATTATGTCTTCTGAAAACTTATAAGTCACCTACTTGATTTGTAAGGTATAGCTAACTGACTAAAGTTTAGCAGTCCACTCAACTTGTAGTCATGGATAGAAGACATTGTGGATGGATATTTGTTAAAGGTAGATTTTTCTGCCTTTTGCAAAACCAGTCTTTCCACTCTGGGAATCTAGACACAAATAACTCTTAAAACTGAATTGTTTTATCTCCAACTGCTGTGAAAACTGATGGTAGTTGATTCAAAGCTTAATTAAGGTCCTTGCCTAGTAAAATGACCACATTTCTCTTTTGGAGACATAAAGTTATCTCTGGGTTTTTGTGACTATATCTCATCCTGCAAAGACTAGGGATAGTTTAAATTATAAGACCCAATACACTTTTGCCTTACATATGTTTAACTGCTATTAATTTTCTATGGCCCATAGTTAGAGTTAGTCATTATTTTCACTTAGTTTATTGACCCAGAAAGATGGGATGACCCAATTGTGTTTGGTGACCATGACTACAAGCAGCACAATCAGTGTCTGGAAGTCATGGTAAAAGAAGGGTGTGTGAAAAGGCTACTCAGTGATAGTCTGCTTACAGTAAGAGGTATCCTCCATTGACACCAAATTCCATTTCATGCATGGGAGAACACATTCTCAGAATCTCTGACTGTAACACTTCAGCCTTATCCAGAACTCTGGGATTCAGATCACTCAGGATTCTAGATGGCAAAACAGGGGGAGGATTGTTAATCTATTATTTGGTTAACTTACTGGAAGAGGAGAATGGTTTCTTTTCTCTTTCCCACCCAAACAACTCCACCCTTCTGTATATCTCATTCTTAATGCTTCTGTGAAAAGCCAGCATAGCTGCTCTCTTTCCAGGCCTGACTGTGATTACAGAACTATTCCTAGCCAATGGCAAAGGCCTCAAGAATTACAGGCCTCTGCAAGCAGATGGACAGACCTTGGTTAAATGAAAAACTGAGATATGGCAGTATTATATTAAAAATACCTGAGTCCATTCTCTGGCATCTACTAACTAAAGCAATTTCTAGGTGCCAGTTCATTCTATTTAGACCTTCCTGAGCTTAGGCCAATCCCAACATTGATGAATCTTAGAATTATGAAAACTTTTGAGTATTCCCAAGTGTAATTGTACTGAATTATATTATTGTTTTGTGACATGCTAAGGGTTCAAATTCTCAAATCAGAAGAAGTCATGGAGTCTCTGAATTTGTTTCTTTCTCAAACTCCTGTTTCATGTTCCTAAAAGGACATCATAAAATATAATCTGAAACTATAGATGTACACTAACCATCTCTAACAGTATCCATAGTGATGTTTCCAACATAGCTCACACTGAGAATGTTTTTACTGTAAGTATTTTTGCCATTAAGTTAAAGAGTATGTGATGCCTGGGTAGCATGCCCAGTAAGGTGTGTTTTGAATGAGATCAGGCACACTGTCTGCCAGTGCTCATGAGAACGTCTATCTGATCGGAGCAGAGTGAGCAGAGGGACAGAACTCTGTTGCCAGGATCAGAAACACCGATGGCTTGCCTTCGTGCACAATAGAAAGCAGTTGTGCTGAGAGGTTAGGGAGTGTTAATAAGAGAATTAGGGGGAATGTAGGTCACCACTTAAATTTTGCTTATTTTTCTTGGATAAATTTTGTCCAATGGCAAGAAGGAATTTCGCAAAACTTTTACCCACCCACAGATTTTCATGAAAATGTCACTGACCAAAGACAGCTTTGAATTTTGTATGAATTGACTCATTTCTCCACAGGCATTTTGCCTGGCAAAATCTAGAGTATTTGCTTTGGCTTGAATATTGGGGAGTTTGCTTTTTAAGCAACATTGGATTATGAATACAAGAAAATAAATACAGAGCTGGGGCCATGTCCCCATTCCTCTTTTATGGCCTGATTTATGAGTTCATGGGCCAGCTTTAGCCATGTAAGACATTTCTTGAGGAAAAGTAAATTCATTGTAAGCTGTGGAAGAAGGCTTTTCCACATCCTTTATTTTGTTACATTGATAAGACTTGGCATTGGTGTAGTGACTACAATTATATAACCCAAAGGGACCTTAGGAAAATATTATCCAACCATAAATATTAGTTACCACTCCACAACCTTCATATTGGCAACAATTAGTATGTTCTTATGATGTTAGGTATTGATGAGGGTTTGGGGAACAGGGAATGCTTTTACATTGCTAGTGAAAATTGTTGCAACCACTTTGGAGAACAATTTGGAAGTATCTAGTAAAGATGAAGATGAGCATATTCAACAAAATCACATCTACATGTCTGCCCTAGAGACAGTCTTGTATATGGTAGTAAGGGGGTTTGCAAAAAGATGTTTATTGCACCTCTAGTTTTTAGAAAAAATCTAAAGCAACAAATCTATAAATCTATAAACAAGGTAAATTAATAAACTGATTTATTCCTGATACAATAATCAGAGTTTAAAATTGATGTACTACATAGAAATCTCTCAATATTGATATATAGAGATAACATCAATAAATGTCAAATAACTATGGAATGAAAAAATTAAATTCAAAAGGATATATTACAGTATAGTGCAATTTATATACATTTTAAACACATACCAGGCAGTACTATATCATTGTTATAAGTACATAATTACTTGTTAAACAATGGTACCATATGCAAAAGAAGAATAATCGGTAACCTTAGGGTAGTGGGTACTTTTAGAAAGGAAGGAAATAAGAAGAAATGGGACATAGAATTTCTCTTTATCTCTATTCCAGAGGGTGAGAAAACTGAAACAAATATGACAAAATGGTAATTTTTATGCTTTTCTACCTGTCTGAGATACTTTATAGCTATTAATATATATTTTTATCTAAATATAAAAGAAAATAAGTTCCTATTAATACCCCAACTACCTTCCACACATACCATTATTCAGGTGAGGAAACAAAGCTTAAAACAATTGA